TTTAAATCAAATTTACAAAACAATGAATCATATATTTATATTTTTTTCAATGAGGAACCAAGTTTATTTTAAGCCAGATAATAATCAATTCCATTTTTATATGGGAAATTGGGAAATTTACTAATTGACTTACGCAAACAATATACGATGATTTAGAGTGGGATGTTTTATATCTTCCTTTTTATCTTTCAGATAACAAATGCTTTTACTTTCCTGATCTACCATATGGCCAGAAATCCTGACGTTCAGTCAAAATTGTATGAAGAGTTGAGGCATAAAATACCAGACGGAAAAATAACTAAAGAAGCATTAGAAAGACTTCCATATCTTAAGGCTTGTATCAAAGAATCGTTTAGGTAATTAGAGTGACTTTAAATATTATTTAAATATTCTTTAGAATTTCGTAACTATCTTTATTGTTCGCATTGTAATAAAATCATTTTTCTTGTATTCTGATTCAAATATAAGTTATAATTACACTGTTTTTTTTCCATGAAATCTCCCACATTTTGAAGTACAAAAAGGGAAAAAAGTTCTAGACGACATTTTAATGAATTTAGAAACTCCATCTTTAGAAATTAATCGTTTACATACCAGTCTCATATTTTGCAGTGATGGGAAAAGTGTCTTTATGAAAAATGTGACAGCAGGATTGCATCTAAATTATTTGGATATTTTGTTCAACTAACTACCTATTTGGTTAAAAAATAAACAAACATAGGAATTGTATGCAACAGATGTATGCCATTTTAGACTTACACATTTATAGATATATATTCTTTCTTATTTATACAGATATATATTCATTCTTATTTTTATAGACACAAATTTCATAGTTTATGCATTATGAGAGTGAGCAAAACGTGCAGTAATATATTTCTAAGAGTGTGGCTGCGGCGCCAGGAACTTTTCTTCTTCAATATAGAGAAATAAATAAATTTTATTATTACCTTTATAAATGTTAAGGAATGTAAATTTTTATAATTTCTTTTTTTAAAGAATTTTATGTTTTGCAGCCTACGACACGTATGACAAATTATTTATTAAATCTATCGACGCTTCTTGTTAAATTTTTATAATATACGTGTAATGTAAACGGAAATTTACTTGTTATTCTTTTTTTTTCCAGACTAACTTCTACCATTCCATGCATATCAAGAATACTTCCTGAGCCAGTCATTCTTTCAGGCTATTATATTCCAGCAGGGGTAAACCTTTTAAAAGATTTATAAAAATAGCAAAATATTTGTTATTAATATAAATTTTAGTTAGCAATGTTTGTTTAAATTTAAGGAACTTCAAATCAAATGTAGATAAAAACTCATAACCAAAAATAAGAATTTCATTTGCCCTTGTTGTTAGCTTGGAATATACTCTTTTACGTAACGAGCCTTTTTTTTCGTGTAGTTGTAGTTATTTGACTAACTAGTCCTCATCTACCAGAGGAGCTTCAAATGCACACATCTATAAAATTCAACAATCAAGTAACAAGAAAACTCCATCGCGTACATTGTATTGTTTTTAGAGCAGTAAGCAGTATTTTTTTTATAACGTATTTGCTACCAGTAGTGGGTAAAGGTATCTTAATCTCAAAAGTGCAATTCGAAGTCTGTTCGCAACATTTTGTTAACTAATTTGTCATAAACATAAGGAGGACTTTTCTATATTGAACTGTAAGCTCACTCTACTACGTAAAAAAATATTATCCCTATTAATCGTTGTACTAGATTTGCCAGCTACTGTGCTTTTATAAAGCTTTCAGAATTTTTGGTCATTTTGCAACATTTTTAAATTCTCACATGAGAGAGCTAGAAAAATGCTGGCTATTGTGGATATCTCGCGATTTGGCGTCGCTTAGTGCCACTAACCATTTCAACAAATCTAGGAAGACACATAAATAGTAAGTCATAATGTTAAAAGCCCAAGTTGTACAGAGGGCTGGAGAAAAGTAGCGTTTTCTGAATCATTTACGTGTAGTGATGTGGGAAATAACTTTAAATCAAATTTACAAAACAAAGAATCATATAGTAAAACATAAACTTAGCTATCGCTAGAAGAAAATTTCTCTAAAGCATAGAAAGTTGGCAACCCTACACTACAAATTTTTGTAAGCTTTTAGCTTTAATTGATAGCTAAAGCGCTTAGTGGAAGAAGATGTTGTGTGACAGTTTCGGAAAAAGTAAGATTTTTTCGGATTTATCGTGAATCTTATCTTATCGTGAATTATATTTTACTTTTCTTTAAATTTACAGCAATGGTTTATTTTGCCTCGTCCTTATATTTTTGATATCTCAGTGTATGAAGGTTCCAAATTAATTTGGCATGAACATTTGACAAGCAACTTTAGAAATCCGAAAGTGTTAACGCTATGATACGAGCAGCTTAAATGAGTTAGTTAATTGTAATAAGCTTCGTTAATTGTAAGAGGAGCTGTAAAGACCAAGCATAATATTTATCTCGTATAGTCAAGATATAAACTTGAATATTTACTGTAATTTACTTAAATGAGGCTTAGAACTTCCAGCCATCTTTCAGCTATTCAACTGTTCTCCTTTTTTTAGACTCCCCTTTTCTGCAATTTTATTGTCCCTTGCAAACAGGCAGAGAGATATCCTGAGCCAGAAAGATTTAATCCTGACCGGTGGATCAAAAAGACATCTCGGACAAATCCTTTCACTCTCGTCCCTTTTGGACATGGTATGCGAATGTGCGTTGGTCGGCGGTTTGCGGAGTTGGAAATGCACGCCGCTCTCGCCAAAGTAAGTTTTAATTTTATTCAACTCTAGTAATTTTTAAGCATTTAAATTTTCTCACTTTAGAAACATAAAATTTATGTACTCACTCGTTTTCATCAAGAAATTTTCTTTTCATATTTAAAGAGGTATTTTTTAAACCTTGCTATTTTTTAAATCTTAGTTTAACAAAATTTATTTTAAACAGTTTTGACCACCACTTCTTATAATTAGTTTAAATAAATATAAAAATCTCTGACTATAAAAGATCAGCAGTGCATAATCTTCAAGTCCTACTAATCACCTTCCATTAGTAAGTCCTTTAGCATACCACACGTCATACTTCATTCCTATAATTAGTTTAAATAAATATATAAAGCCCTAACGTTAACTTTTAAAGATCAGCAGTGCATAATCTTCAAGTCCTACTAATCATCATCCACTAGTTGGTCCACTCTATCATACTTCATCAAAACAATTTCAAGTTGAATCAATTGCAGTCTCAGATGCCCAGCTAAAATTTGAAGTTGAATTTTTGAAGATAGGTGTTTGTAAAGTCAAGATAATTCCTGCTTACAATTAATGATTAAATTGTTATATCGCTGCCGCCACAAATACATTTAACCAGAAAGTGTGAAAAACAACAGCTACGTTTCTTAAATGTTGATGTAAATTATGCATTTCATGATATTAATTGTTTGTGCGATAAACATTTAAACATACGCATATTTGTTAAAACAAAACAACATTTAAAGCCTTTATCTCTTGGAAATGTAGATAAAATTTTTAATAAAATTATTTGGATGATCTCCATCAAACCATGTAGAATTTCTTTAAAAAAATGTGTTTGATCATATCTGATATAAACAATTAAACAAAAACCTTGTATCTTTAACAGGAAATTATTATTATTGTATTTATCAGCTGTCGTTATATGACTTCGTTTAATTCGTTAAATTTACTTCAAGGCCAAAATTATGATGATTCATAAGGATTATTCACGTGATTCATGAAGATGATTTCTGGCAAATTATGAGGATCATTTTTATAACTATTACTGCGCTTTTTCTTGGGATTCAAACTAAATCAGAGAACTGATAGAAAATAGACAAAAGAGGAAAAAAAAACTGTAGAAATTAAATATTGGATAACTCTGGGTATGAACCTACAACCTCGTGAATAGTAGGATTCTATTCTAATTGCACCAATATGCTGATGTTACTGAAGCTGCAGTTTTATTTTTAGTTATTTATGTATTTTGTTATGCAACATAATACGTTGTTAGAAAATAACTTGAGAACTCTTCAGGCGGTTTTAGAGTAATTAGCGCATTTGAATAAATATCAGAAAAGTTTTACTATTTGATATCTGAAATTTATGTTACCCTAGGTGGCACTTCCCTATAAGTAAATCATTCAAACACCAGCTTTATTGTCACAGTTTCACCATCCTAAATTATTATATTATATTCATATTTATGCTTTATCTTTGATTTTTCAGATGGTATATAATTTCAAGATGGAATACAAAGGACCAGAAATTAAATGTAAACAGGCTTTCATAGTGGTTCCCTCTGAACCAGTGTCCGTAATTATTAAAGACCGATAATTTTGTAAAGTCTAATATAAGGGTTGGACAAATATGTGGAAACACTGCAATACTAACTCTATGAAAACAAAATTTTTTAGTTGCGTTTTGAAACATTTTACACAACAAAAATGCTCTTTTTTAAAACGTTTAGAAATGGTTTTGCTTTTACCCATGAAAAATAGTTATCGATCAAAAAGATTAAAGCGTCTTTATTTTTTTTTTTAAATTTCAGCCGTCTTCAAAATATTTTTAAGCATGATATACAAAGTTTTTTGAAAGAATATTTGTAGATTTATTGTGATACCGAGAAATCTAAAAGGTTGATTACCTATCTTAGATGAGCTTAACCCCTTGGGGACGGGTGATTCAGAAAAGCATTCGTACAAAATCAGAATCAAGTTGCAATTAAATAAAAAACGGTAAATTAAATGCAGTCTTTGCTAATTTGACAGACTTACTTTGCTTTGACTTTAATTATTGTTAGTTTAATCATATATATAATCAATGTTAGTTCAAAGTATAACTAAATAGTTTTATTTTGAACAAAGTAATGGTGAATTAAATAAATCAAAGAATTATAACTCCGCCCACAAATGAACTGCTAAAGAACTACTTTGATTACCAGTTTTATATTTTTACCATGATTGATACGGTTTTATTCTGTCACATATTTGTGACAGTCGGCGCGAAAGGGTTAATAAGCAAGTACCGAACTCGTAAAAAGCAAAAAAAAAATTTTTCAAATGTAATAACCATTTGTAAACAAAAAAACATTTTTGGATTTCTGACAGATTTCATTTTTTTATTTAATGTGGTAGCAAAAGTTTTGTATTCATGCTTGATTTAACAAATATGACTTAGAATACTTTTATATAACTACCACTAATTTAAATATACCTAAATAAGACTAGGTACTGATTTTATAGTAGTTTAAAGTGATTACGAAAATAAATTATTTACCCACAATATCACTTTCAAAATTATTTCACTGTCTCTAGAAAAAAAAAAGTAGGCAAAACGTAAAAGTAGGAAAAGCGTAAAAGTAGGCAGATTTGCAATTGTCTAAGCCAGTGTTTCCCAAACTTATTACTTGTGTGTACCCTTTCTAAATTTTTCGTAACGCTGTGTACCACTAATAAAAAATGAATACATTTTTCACAATAAAAAAATCGCACAAAAGTTAAAAATCACAACTGGCTGCTGACACCACTAATTATTAACCGTCAACTCTGCAAAAAATAGCCAATAGAAAAATACTTAATCGTAAATTTTTATGGCTAGCTTTGTTTTTAAATAAAAATTTTTGAAATTTTCGTTTGTTGCAAGATATTTCGCATAAGAACACGTACCCCCTCTAAACTGTTCCCGTACCCCTGAGGGTACGCGTACCACACTTTGGGAAACACTGGTCTAAGCTGGTGGATATCCATCGTTAAGTGGTAAAATGCTCGACACTAAGTTTTGCAAAAATTTGGTTAGTTCTCATAATGTTTTTAATATGTTTTACCACTCATTAATGTTTTTCCAAGCGATAACTAAGACTAGTTAGCATTTTATGTTTTAACTATTTATATGTAGTGTTGGGCAAAATTATTCTAAACCGAGTGTCAAATTTCTATCCCTCACTTTTTAAAATTATATAAGATTCATTGTACAACAAAAGGAAAGTAGCTTTTAAAACACGTTTCTTATTTTGGTCTGTATAAGTTTTGTACGGGAGTCAAAATTTCTCAAATCTAACAGGAAAATATCAAGATGGAAAAAATATACTTCAGAATCACTACAGGAAATTGAACGAAAACAAATATTAATGGCAATATGTAAAATAGCAAAATCTTTACATATAATGTATGAAAAATAGTAAAAGTAATTGCTAGGAACAGCTACATACTACTAATTTTTTTTTGTAGCGCACTACTCAATACGCTACTTTTTTTCTAAAAAACAATATCACACTATTCTACAAACTACGCAATAAAGTAGAGACTACAGTAGCTTTACTACTTGTCGTAGGCTACTTCCGACCACGGATAAAGAACGTATTTATTTCTATGCATAGATACACGCTAGTCAGCTCGTTTGAAAATAATAATGACCTTAACGTATCGTTATGAAATATATAACCGTCTCCTTCCTACTACTCCTTATGTAGTTGAAAAGTGAGGACAATCAGTAATGACGGGAATAAATTTTTAATAATCCTGGTAAGGAATATATTATTGAATTGTATAAAAACAGTAACTTATAAAGAGAAAGCGATTGCAGATATAAAATCTGGGAAGCGAAAATATCTGAGATCCATTACAGAAATACGAGAAAAAAAATCTAAAATTCTAAAAAAAAACATGTTTCTTAGTTTTATTTTTCAAAATGTGCTAAAAGTTACTGTTTGAAAATTTTTTCTAAGTAAAAAGTCTGTTAGTATTGCATTGTTTGTATCCAGCCTCTATACTAGATCTAATAAACGTGCCATAGTGTGAAATGTCATAGATACAATCAAAACATACCCATACGTTTATGTTCACAATTTCCATAAATTATAATATTGGATTTTTATACTATATTTGCATTTTTACCGGTTTACTACATACCTGTCAATTTTTACGCATTTGGCGTAAAATTTTATTTTTATATTTAAAGTGGTAGTAAAATATATGCTTTCCATATATTCCTAGCGTTTGTAAATTTAATTTATAAAGATTTTGACCCTCACTTTTTTTAAAAAAAATTTAAGCTGATATTATATTATGTAAAACTTCTTTTGTTATTTGTTTGAGCTCTCTCATTGTGCAACGTATGTTTCTGCCTAAAATTTTAATTCAATTTCCAATTTACTACCACTGGGAAAAATTATCCCCGAAGGACTTAAAAGTTGACAGGTATGTTACTACATGCATAAATGAAATTTTTATAAGATATTCGATTTTCGAAAAAAAAAAGTAAAGTATTTTTGTTATATTATCAAAATATATGTATATAAAAAATCAAATTATGAAGGGAAGGATGTTATTAAGATAAATTTTCATGTGTATAACAATTTTGAAAAATTTATTGTATAAGTGTAAATAGTTCCATTGATTACAGAATAGTGTAGTAATAGTTGGGTCCTTTTGTATTTATTCAAATTTATTATTTATTTTTAGAAATACTGAATATTATATTAAAGAAAAATCTCTTTTTAATTATATTATTTTTTGGATTAGATTTAAGACTAGTCGCCTTCAACGGCTATGTCAGCAATCTTTCAAATCCATATGCATAGTCGCCAATTTATACAGTCGTTGAAAAATAATTTTTCTGAGTAATAGTAACATTAGCGTTTTGGCGTGTTAAATTTTGAAGTTTAAAAAAAAATTAAACTACCACTATGAATTAATAATTTAAAAACTATTTGTAGATAAGATCTATTTTTTGCCAAATTATTCTTACAGATATCTTCGTAGTTTCGTTTCTAGAAAATTCTCCCGAAATTACTACCACTTTGTAAAATCTTTTTCAACGACCGTACAAGTTGAAAGGTACACAATTGATGCTTTTCAGTCTCACCATAATACTTTCTCGAACGTCTAACAGGACTTTGAAATGCAACATTGAGGACGTACTTTAGAATTCTAATTAAAAACATATATTTATTTACAATATGTAGTGGTAGTCGCAAATGTATGAAAATATTGGCATTTGTTTCATTGTTGTCATTACATTTTAAAATTTTTTTTACCCGTTGGACACAGGTATGAACTTGTACGGTTACTGAAAAAGATTTTGCTAAGTGTTAGTAAAGTAATTAAGTAGAAGAACTTTTCTCGAAACTTCGCTGAAGGATAACTGCATTAAATTTTATTCGCATATTTGATATTGTCAGATATTTTTGTAAAAATTTTGTAGATTCTTAGCACTATTGCTTAAGAACTTTCTCTAAATCACTGGATCTATTTTTTGTTTCATTCTAATTATCTAAAAATGCAGTTCTGAAAATGCCATTCATATTTATTGAAAATGCCACCAAAATTTTTATCGTTATTTTTATATAGCAAAAATTAAAAACGGGTATTTTGTTAAAATTAAATGCATTGTTTTGTAATACAACAATTGCTCTGTATGAATGTATGGTTGAAACAGAATTTTATATGTTATTGTAAGCATTTTTGTGATTTATTTCTTTTTAAAATTTTGATTGTATAGTTTATAGTATTGTAAACTGTAATGTATAGTTATTTAAATTTGATTATCGAGTGATTTTCTCATGCAACTTAAGCGTTCACTTAAGTAAGGCATGCATAGACTGAGATGCCAACCGCTCCGGATACTAAAAATATTTTTATTTAAAAAAAGAAAGAAAAGAAAACAGCATATTACAATAAGCTAAAATTCGTAAATTTGCTGGGAAGCCAACTGCTCCGCTGTCTACAAATTTTGTCTACATGTAAGTTAATCTAATTTTTAAAAGAAAAAAAAAAGCAAGTTTCTGTTTATAACTAAGAGCTGACCATAACAATAGTAAAAATCTCAACTTTCACCGGACAGCGGATAAATATTTTCGAGTGGTAGTCTTTTTACGAATGATTCTTGGTTTAGTAAATACGATTTATTGTTTTTTTACTCACCGCTACTTATAAATAATCAGCGATGTCAACTGCTCCGCTTTCAGTAAAATTTTAATAAATTGGTAGAGAATGAAATAGTAAATCTTGCATGAGTTAGAATAGTTACACCTTTTATTTAAGAGTGTCGCCAGCATTTAATATAAAACTTTTAATTTTCGATATCAAGGGGTGGATGATATCAATTGCATTATAGCTAAATTGACCACAAAATTTTAGAGCGACGCAAAAGCATGCACCACATCAGATTTCAATAAGTCGTTCGATATTGATATAATCCGTGATAATTCGAATTTCAGCCCAATTACCGCCTTTTTATGCTCAGACTGCATACTATCAACATACTATTAACTTTATCATACAACTCTACTCAAGGGGATCTCCCCATTCCAAAGATGATTTTCACTTCAAAACTAAAGATTTACTTCTTTAAGGACTTGATTTGTCGTTACAACATACTACAACTTCAAAGATATTTAGGACCTCCTAGAATACGACAAAGCAGAATGGATGNTTTTTAAACTAAAATTAGTAAAGATTTACTTCTAAGCCGTGATAACCCCAATATCCAGCATCCTAGAATAAATTAATAGCAGAGGAATGTTTATTGTTAAGGATAGAGTTATTCCTCCCGAAAATTAACTATTATTGAAATAGTTTTACTACCAGGGTCTTCTCTTTTCCGACTCGCTTGCAAGGCCCGTATGGAAACTCTGCAATTGTGAAAGGTAATTATACAATTGTATTTTAATTAGTCTTTCACTGCCACTTGGGAAATACTTCCTGGGAAAAAATAAAAATTGGCAGATCTGTATAAGGATTTATTTCCAAGTT